AGAGATGTAATTGACCCTGATGGCAAATTCCATTCTGCACTTGACGTTGCAGGAGAATACTTTAGATCAGGGGCAGATAAAGTTTCCATTGGTAGTGATGCTGTGTACGCTGTAGAAAAATATCTTGCAAATGATAAGAAATTATCAGGAAACACTGCAATCGAAACTATCGCTCGTGCCTATGGGTCCCAAGCAGTTGTAATTTCGGTAGATCCAAGACGCGTTTACGTCGATTCTCCAGCTAATGCGATGGGACATCACGTTATCCCAACGGCATACCCCGGTCCCAAAGGGGAAACTTGGTGTTGGTATCAATGTACCGTGAAAGGCGGTCGTGAAGGTCGAGATATTGACGTTCATCAACTAGTTACTACCTGTGAAGCTATGGGTGCCGGCGAAATTCTCCTTAATTGTATGAATAAAGATGGGACCAATTCTGGGTACGACTTAGAATTAATACAAGATGTAAAAAAAGCGGTCGATATACCGGTTATCGCATCAAGTGGTGCAGGACGTGAAGAACATTTTGAAAAGGTCTTTGTTGAAACCAATGTAGAAGCCGCCCTCGCTGCTGGCATATTTCATCGGCGTGAAGTACCAATTCAAAATGTTAAAAACTATCTAAAAGAAAGAAATATATTGGTGCGAAATTTAGTTTCCACTTTATAACACTCCAATGTATTAGATGTTATTAGATATTTGTTTTACAGTATAATGTAAAAAATTTGTTTATATAAATGTTATCCTTAATCTTACAAAAAGAACTCATTGTTTAAAATAAAAAGATGGCTTGTTTGTATTAAGCAGTGAACATCAATACTTTATTATTAGCCGGTTTAACCCATTTTTATTTTTACGTAAAAATGTACATTAACAGTTATTAAAGTAATACACTCAATATATCTCAAATCAATCGAAAACAGTCAAAATAAGAAAATGAAAGTAACGTCAAAAAGTATTGTACCGAATTTCAGACAGTGCATTATTAAAAGTGTGTCTATTAATGTTAACTCGTGGTTTACTCGAAGATGAAGGCGTTGTCATGCTATTGTGCATACGAATCCAAGGATGATTCAGAATATCTTCCAAGGATGGGCGACAGAATGGAATTTTTTGAAGAACCTAATAAAAATTATGACAAATGAAACAATGCAATAACTTAATAACGAAAATGATTTGCTATGTAATTACCATTAAAATGAAGTTCCTAGCTTCACTTGACACGTGATCAGGAATATTTACATCATCACACATTATTCGTCGACAAGTTCCATGAAAACCTATCGCTTCAAACGGTGGTACACCAACTAACAACTCGTAACACAATACTCCAAGAGCCCACACGTCGACATTTTCATTATATGGAAGGCGTCGCACCATTTCTGGAGCAAGATAATCCAAAGTTCCACAAACTGTTGTAAGCGGGGTACTGAGTCACGCATAGAAAAAATCAAATATACATATAAGTTTATATATCGATATCAAACAATTCCAAGTTTTATTGGCCATTCGTCAACTACTCGCCTTGATAAATTTGGGGCGTATGTTGCCCATCCGAAATCAGCTAGTTTGATCACACCATTTCGTCCAATTAACAAATTCTCAGGCTTAATGTCTCGATGAATAATGTGCTTCTGATGAATGAATTGCAGAGCTCTGGCTATCTGCGCTATATACTGAACATAAGATATTATTATTATTCGTCATGGATCGTAAAAGTATTTACGCATATTTACCCGTGCCGATCGTCCCTCAGTAATACGATGTGATTGTTTGAGAAAATCATATAACGTTCCATATTGTGCAAATTCCAAAATCATGACAATATATTTATCATCTTGAAAATAGCCATAAAGTTTGAGGATATTAGGGTGACTAAAAGTAAAATTTCGTATTTATCCATTTAACTGATAATTCAATTCATTACTTCATATTACTTCATGTAAAATAAATTGAATTACTCAAGATTGCCCTGAATTTCAACCTCTCGCTCCAATTGTTTCAAGAGTTTTTCATGTTGTAACTCTTGTTTTAGCAGAATTTTCAGTGCGACGATATACCCACTTGCCTTATAAATCGCCAGATATACGCGACCATATTTACCCTTGCCAATCTGTCGCCCAATTTTAAAATCATTCATAGATAATGTACTAGGAATAGTCCGCCTAATATTAATAAAGAAATGTTCATAATTATCTGTATTAATTCAATTTATCGATGAATTGAGTCTTACTGGCTCTGGCTACACTTCAGATTTTCTTTATTAACTTTTTGTTCATGAGAAGAGTTCTATATTAAAAAGAAAAACAATCTCTTTCAGTATATTTTCAAATTCATATTAAATGCAAAAACACGGGAATTCATCAAATAATAAGTGGCCTTGCAAAATTTAGGTCAGATTTACAAATCAAGGTTTACCATTGTACTAAAGTTTACAATAGTTGTTCTTTATTAAGCTCGAAAGACAAATCTTTTATGGTGTCAATGAAATTTGTTTATATCTGATATAGGATACGCAGATGTACGCGTGACGTAATAATTTGTTATCTGTTATTGTCTTGATAACTTAAAAAAAATAAGCTATCGCTATGTGTATATTATCTAAAAAACTAGATTAACACAGTAAAATTATATTGTTTATGTTGTAAGTGCAGAAGTGGGAATGGAATCATAATACTAAAAATCCTTGAATCAACTTAAATTCTGTTTCAACTTACGACATATATATGGGCTAGGTGCTGGAAAAGGACCGAAAATAACAATTTTTTAAAATACAGTCCGACCTCTCTATAGTCACCTCCTATATAAGCATATTTTTTAAAAACAAACTGTTATTAAATATAATAAATTTGACCTTTAAAACTGTCACACTTCTTTAGAATCACGCATTTTTGTATCCCAAGTGTGTGATTATAAAGAGGTTTGACTGTAGATTTTTTTATATAAATCAATTTTAGAATAAGATTAGAATCTTTTTTTACTTAAAACACAAAGGTAGTTGTATTAATAAAATTTTATAGGATAGCTTTTTTTTTTTTTTTTTTTTAATATTAAGGTGACCACTTAGGTCTCCGGCACTTAGCTTTATTCAGATAATTATGATATTACATCAATTTCACGAGGATACAACTAGCCACATGTGTACTTTTGGTACCTAATTTAAGTAGTCCATCTGGGTTCTACACTAG